AAATCTCACATAGAACGAAATAAGATTGGTGCCCGTCAAGGAGAAAGATCATCAGGCACAAACTTAGGAAGACCTACAGAGAAGCATAGGCCTGTTTCTTTAACTCAACGGTAATTGTTGCGACGTGCTAAATCATAGTGGCTACCGCCCATTGGTGCCTGCTAGAGCGTCAAGGATCCCATGACCAACCTCGAATAAAACTTAGCGATCTTATAGCTGGCTTATATGAACTAAGGAGGCAAACGAGGGCCTGAACGACAGTAGATTGGAAGAGGTATTGTGAGTGGCACATTCCGTTCGATTGTTGTGTTTACTTGTTAATCCGTCCATACCGCTATGAAGTTGAACGAATTCGAATTTTTGTCCATACCGGTATGGATTAAAAATAATTTGCTTTATAGTCAAGAATTGGTTTTGGCCGCATTGTTCTATAAGCCTCAGTCTACGTCGAAGTCATGGCTTAAAATTAAACGTACATGCAACAGTACTGAGGCTTAACCATAAAGGTTTGCATAGTAATAATTCAATATAACAGTGATATTTCCGATATGGGCCGAATTGCCAATTAATTTCAAAGCTCCGTTCGTAGTTTCGTTGGAAAATTTGCTTAACTGTTACAGTTTTTTGCAATTTTACTATTACTAGTTGTTTGTTCCTGAATTTCGACTCATCAGTCTGATCGACTGATATTCAGCAGTTGAACATGTGCTGCTGACAATATCGCTTCCATTCTTCTCCATTATTTGAGCTTTCATTAGCTGCCCTTGTCTGTGTAGGTGCATATTTTCCATTTACTGTTTTTTCTTATTGACTCATGACTTACCATCAGGTATTGACTTATGCTACATTTCTTTTGTTTGTGCTTAGCAGCGAAATTCTTTACTGGCTTTATCGCATAAATGGTAACGTAATAGTATTTTTTTCAAAATTTTACTGTAAACTTTCATTCGTTTTCGAACGTTTTGATGAATACTGCTTTTTGCTTCTTACTACATTGTTTCAGGACGAACTGGCGATTCAACGGGAGGCACTGAAGCCTGGAATGTCTGTTTTGATCTTAGATGACTTGATAGCAACAGGAGGTAAGCGGCGAACTAGATGACTGAATCAACCAATGTGGACTTTGGAACTGCATACGATTCAGCAAATCACCCGTTTTAATTATAAAATATTCTTTTTCATTTCAACTAAATCCTGTTTTAGTGCATCAAGGTGAATTTATATGCTCTTGTACGGTGAAAAATTGGACGAACCGTAACGTAATGAACAGGTCTTTTCACCTTGAGACAACTTTCACATGTTTATCAGTCAAGGGCTGAAATTTATCGGCCGGCAGATTGAATTTCTATAATTCAATTTCCTGTTTTAATCGCAAAACAATCAAGCATACTTTGTATGGATAAGGGACGAATTCTCCAAGCTCGCTTTCGCTGAATATACTACCGCTCCTTTGCTAATGGCTGCCTCCATTTCAGCAGGTCGCTCCTCGATGATATTTGAACAGCTGCAGGCATAGTTAGGCCACGTAACGTAACAGTACTTTGTTCGTTACTGTTTGCAAGATACCAGATTGCTAACTCACCTACTGAAATGGGTCACTAAGCATCTAGGAGAGTACCATACCCCGCGAAATCTGAGCTGAACGATCTGTTTTTGTCATGCAGGCCGTCGAACAGTCAATACGTCTGCTTAGTTTTCATGCATCCTATCGCAATGGACATATTCTCCTGTTGTCATTTACTCAGGCCTTCTCTCATGACTTTATATCGTTAAGTAGGTCGCTAGAGTTTATCATCAGAATTAGTAGATTATTCCCAACACAGCTGATCATGCGTCATTAAACCGAATGGCAACTAATATTCCGGTCAACGCTGCACACCCTCTGCGCTTCAGTTTCTTCGAATATTCGTTCTGTGACATAATCATCCATTGAATTATATTTGACTTCTCAATCGTCCTATCGTCAGCCAAGATTTTCAGTGAACCAGAAATCACTGAACTGAGAGTTGTCACTGGTTGCGAGTTGTCTAAGAGGTATGCCTCGAACTCCATAGGTCCGATTCCGCTCGATGGTCATCTTTGTCTTGAGCACGAATTTCGTTCGCAAGGAACTTACCGCATATTGGTCAGACCATGGTTGCTCAGTCAGTAGAGCCTCGAACTCAGAACTGACAGGTCAAGAGTTCAGCTACCGGTCAGAGTCACTAGACCTTCTTCCTTCAGAGGTTGATAAATGAGTACCACTACTGGGAAGGAAACAGTAAACTGCACGACACGCTTGCCACACAATTTCATATTTATGGTTGATGGCAGAGAAAAGATCAGTACCGCACCATCGACGTGATGAAAAAGAGCACCAGAATGGCCCAGTAATGAAAGCGAAG